ATGATGGATAAGAGTAGAGAACACATAGTGAACGAGAGGAAATAACCGAACATATATCTAATATATAAAGAAGAATGTTTGTTTGTCTGTCTGTTCTTTATGCATTCAGTCCCTGTAAGAGCCAGTGCAGCCAAACTTTGCATGGTATACCCTTACGTCCCAGGGAAGATCAAGAGGGGATCCGCGCGCCCGAGGAGGAGTGGGAGATTTCCCCCACTACTTTTTTAAAAACTGCAGAAAACTTTCTAATTTTTTAAAAATTCTGGAGAATTTAATTCTATTTTTGCAGTATTCTTCTCCGGCTTTTAAATCTGCGCGCTGCCTCTAAATCAAGAGCCCTTCTAGACCGCAAATTTCCACCTACGGGGAGGTAATTGGCATCCTCCCCCATTGTTGGAGTACTTACAGTAAGTGTCCTATCTCCGTGCATATGACTGTTTAAAATAGTCATGAGAATCTCATAGGAAAAATGGTCCTGCTCATGTCTAGGTTAAGAGCTTCCACCAGAGGGATTCATCAGAGTGGTAATATTAAAATGTCAAGACACAAAAAGGTTAAATAGGGAAAGAGATCTGAGTGCATTTTCCAACATCGAAAATCGGTAGGTTATAGGAAACTAAGACCATCGCTTCCAATATAGAATATCCGTAAATTTCAATATTATATTCGTAATATTGAAATTTTCCGGGTAACGCCGGGTACTTCTGCAAGTAGTTCATAAAATAAGGAACACAGAACAACAACGATAAAGAAGGAAGTAAAAACCTACGCTATTGATACGGCTAATGACTTTTCATGGCTAAATATTTTTATTTGAAACAACGGCAAATGGCCGTTATGCAATTTATTAAGTAATGTGACATTCTAGTATTTGCTTAAAACTACCATAACCAACTCGTTTGTCTGACGGTCGGACAAACAGACAGTTGTACCTTTCCTTTCACAGAGACCACCAGTCATTAGAAACACTGTCTAGCACCCGTTTATAACCCATGGGTATCTTCTGCATTTCCATTTGCCCTAAGCATACTTTGCTGTGTTTATACTAATCGAAATATAAAACAACGACATCAAACATCTGCGAGCATTCAATTGCAAGGCTAAAACAATACATTAATGTTCTGTCATCCTACGCTACGCGGCCCAATGTTCAACATTTTTCTATTTATTTCTGTTTTATCGAGCAAACTGTGATCAAATAAGTGCTGCTGCGAAGCAAACAATCATCCACATAGACACACATTTTATTCTTTATTTTCTCCTTTGCTTTGATTTAGATTGTATCTAACAAAAAGGCAGCAAATTAAGTTTATTCAAAGTTTTATAACTGTAAAATTCTATGAGAAAAAAGGCGGGTAATAGTAAAACATGAAGACACCCACAGACATCTACAAACACTTACAGACGCCAACAGACAGTACACGGACGTCCACATGCAACCGCAGACAGCTACACGGACAGCACATAGGAATTCCCAGACAAGCCAAAGCAGCTACACAGACACCCACTTCTACAGACAGCCACGAGATTACACGCAGAAAATTATCCAAACAGCCAGATCAACCTACAGAGAGTACCCACAAACACTTAGGTCGTTAAAGAATCACATTTATCCTTCACATTTATTGTATTTATATTTAACAAAGTTTCTGTCTGACGATACACGATATTGATCTTATTCAAATATGACTTTATTTTTTAATTTAGGCTTCAAAGAGGAAGCAAATGTGCCGGATGGAGAAACTGATGTTTATGGGCAGAAATAAACTAAACTAAAACGCGCCTTCAGTGAATTAGTTTAGTTTAAGCTATTTTTATTTTCATTCAACTGAAGTTACCCAACACTAGTAGTTCGACTAAGTCATTAAACACTAGTGTTGGGTCGCAAGATCATAGTGCTATACAAACAAAAACACAAAGTGGGTGTGTGTGCAGACTCACTTTTTGAGTGTCTATAATTTGGGTATCCGTGTAGCTGTCTGCGGCTGTCTGTTGGCGTCTGTAAATGCCTGTAAATGTCCGTGAGTGTCTTCATATTTGCCTATTACCCGAAAAAAGGCATAATTTTATATAACTTTGCTTAGATCTCTCCGATGTCTTACACTATAAGATAGGTTAGAAATACGATATCGATTATCTGAGATATAGTAGGATTTTAAGACAAAATTTTTTATAAGATAAGATGTATGATACCGGACATAAACGCTAATATATTCAGCAATAACAAATGGAACTCTAATTTTGAACAACGTCTTGCAGAAACTATATTTTATGTAGCATTAAGTTTTTACTTAATTTCTGAAAAATACGTATGCGGTTTTTTGCGGCACATAGAACTCTTTTTGTAGCGAAATGTCTCAGAGAAAACAAATATTTCGCAGGGCAGAAAAATGTATTTTTTTCTGTTTTGTCAAATTACTATACGTTTCCCTGTATTGTGAAATATCTTTTATCTAGAAACTCCTGAAAGAATGCTATGATCATTTTCTTCCTACATTAGCACGTTATTGTTGAAAAAATCAGTGCAGCTGGTGGAGACTGAAGGAGAAGTTCTGTTGTACTCTATTAAACAAGGAAGAAAAAGAAGTATTAGGATCTAAATAGTCATATCTTCTCATGCATCGGTATGGAGTATAAAGGGTGGCCCAGAAGTTCTGACTCGATTTGTATAATAATTTTTCTAAAGTAAAATACATGTTTGTAAATTTCTCTCTATGATGAGAAGACGCAGTAAAACACACTCTACAAAATGGCTTTTGATTGACTCCGCTAGCTCATATAGTAAGAAAGTTATAGACTTAGAAGTGTGCTTCACAAAAAAGAAAAACTAACGGTGAACCCGATCTCGGTATTTTTACTTGAACTCCTGTTTCTTAGGTCTCCTAGAATAAATTATTTTTTTAATAGAAGCGCCATACAATGCTCTACAAAATCATATCTAAACTTTAATTTCAGAACTTCAATCAAGAAAACTAAGCAAATTATACGCGAGGCGGAAAAATGAAAACTTTGTAAATTCAGTATTTTTTTTCGACTCGAACTTTTTCTTCTCCTATTATTTCCGTAAAAAAGCTTAGCAAAAGTGAGAACCCAGTTTATGTTTGCTACTTTCGAATACACTCTTTCTCGTGGTCTGTAAAAAATTCATCTCACAGTAGATGGTGTACTCAAGAATGAAGTTTTAAAAATTGAAAACCTCCGTTTCCGACAATGTGCCTAAGCAAGAAATAGAAAACGTGATCGAAGTTTGATTTTTCAGTTAGGTAGAGAAGAGCAATCATTTCTGATCAAAACAGAACAAACCCGATCTACAAATCTTTTGTTTTGATGGAGTTATGAGACTTTCACTGAAAGCACTACCATACGAAGAGAGTTCATGGTTAATTTTTCTTTTTTGTGAAGCACATTTCTAAGTCTATAACTTTCTTACTATATGAGCTAGCGGAGTCAATCAAAAGCCATTTTGTAGAGTGTGTTTTACTGCGTCTTTTCATCATAGAGAGAAATTTACAAACATGTATTTTACGTTAGAAAAATTATTATACAAATCGAGTCAGAACTTCTGGGCCACCCTTTATTTAAAGTTTGAAAAGGATTTTTAAAAAGTCGATCAACCATAGGTTACGAAAGTTCATTTCAGACATTTCTTGAAATTCAAGAGAACTAAACGCTAATAACCCCATCCCGTTTAGATGAAATCAACATTCAAACAGTTAAACTACTTATTCTTCTCAAAATGTTTTTCTTTTATTCTGACGGAATTCAATTTAATAACCTTTTCTGTTTGGTTTTAATTTGCTTCGCATAACTACTACTGCAACGTTGCTGTGTTTTCGTTTTTACTTTCTTCGTTTTATTTTGATAACAAAATGAATATTTGTCATTGTATAAAATTTCGATAGGCACATGACAGATATTCGTTCGTTTCACAAAAATGTTTGAAAATTTAACAGGCACGATAAACATACCTATTGAAAAGTACGCGCAAATTCCTGTGCATACAAAAACATAATTCATAGTAAATAAGAATAAGAGATTCTAAAGAGTGGCTAAAATGCGCATAAATTTAGCGAACAACGATATAACCGTAATTAGACGAACGATATTTCAATAATGTTTAAGTAGCAAGTTATTATTACAAATATCAAGGCATATAGATCCGTTTAATTTTAAAATTATATCATCGTCAACATTGTATTCAATCAATGTCATATCATATGTAAATAGAAGATAAAAATCATTTATTTATAGAAAATTGAAAAAATTTCGGAGTAGCAAAGAGAGTCGCCCGTTCCGTTTCAGGAAATTTTTGGTGCTGTATTTCTAACCTGTATGAACAGGCTATTTTTGAGAATTAGTTTAATTATTAAGGTCAAGACATATCGTATACAGTGGATAAGCATAGAAAAATCATTATAACACGACTAACCACTGTATATGGCGACAGCTATCGCATTAAAGATAAATATTAGATATTTTTTTCCATAGACTATTCTATTTTAATTATATTTTCTTAGTTTATGTGTTTGTATACAAATCTACTTGACTATTTTTTTAGTTAAACTTTTCTCAAAAAATTAACTAACATTCAAGTTTTATTGTATATTTTCATCAAATAAAAAAATCAAAACCTACAATTATGTGAAAAATAGATATTCAGAAAATATTATGTTACAATAAAATACATCACAATATAACACACATCCAATTAAACAGTGTAACAGAACAATTCAAATTTAAAACTTCAACTTTTGTTCTAAGAAATACAATTTTTCGCATTTTACCTTTTATTCTTCATCATACTAAGCAAATAGTAAAATAAAAACATGTTACTCAATCGTGATTATAAATTTTACAAAACATCATCAAAAAGCGGTGTGTGCTTAGCAGTTGCTTTCGTACTCACCATCACCAACCACTCTTCCATCAAGGGAAAGTCCGCTGAAGAAATATCCTTCGGATGCAATGAACAAATTAGTATTATCCACTACTTATGTGCTTCAGCGGACATTTACTCGTTCTAATGACTTCAAGGCTTCCGGTGGTACTTCTTGATTTAATTCTTTGTACAATGATTTTAGTACATGCAATTCTTTAAGCAGTAAGTCAACACGATCATTTAGTTTACGATTTTCTTCAGCTAATTTCGATAATTTTCCTTCTGTGTCTTTCTGTTTTTCTTTTGCTTTCATTCTGGATTTTTTAACGGCTTCATTGTTTTTCACTCGTCTATCATGATATTCATTACTATATTTTACTACCTGTTTATTTCCAAATCGAGCTAATTTTTTTACCGATGCACCACCACTTTTAGAGGTTTCTCGTTTAATCCCATCTTTTTGTTCACCAGGGCTATCTTCATCATTGAATGAACTACTGTCCATTGAATCATCAACGGATGATTCGACTGTTGATCGACGATTTGTGTTGGTTGTTGATGCAAGCAATGATGTTGAGGATGATGATGTTGTTGAGGTATGAGGTAATTCCTCGGATGGACATTGTTGTTGATCGTTTTGATTGTTCGTTATATCGTTAAAAGTCATTGTCAGTAATTTGTCTATAGTATCAGCTGTCTCTAACGGATTTGATTCACCAAGCCAAGTATCAATATCAATATAATTTTCAGCGCTTAACTCTGAGTCGTTGTTTAATGTTGTACTAAATAATTCTGCAAAATTTGAATTAAAATCAAATGGTTGTAATTCAACTGATGTTTCAAGATTAGTATATGTATCAGCAAATAAGTTCTCAAAGTTTGTTGATGTTGGCTGCTGGTGTTCTTGAACAGTGTTAAATACACTTATAGGTGACCCGTTCAAGTTTTGTACCTGAAATAGTGTAAGACGAACATTTAAACTTTGATGATTATTCATCATATTGCAGAAGAATGAAATAGTATAAAATTGATTGTATTGTGAATGAGAAGAAAATTGTTTATTATAAGTTTAAGAAAAGGATTGCCAGTAGTTTATTTATAATAACCTACCAAATCGGAAGACGCAACTGATTTCTGATGGTATGATGTTGATAGCGTCAAATCTCGATATAGGTTGTTCGGTATGTATAGACTGTGACATGATTCTTCTTCTTGTTTGATTAGTTCAGTTATAAAAGCCGTCGTGAAATCTGCCTGATACGTCGAATGAGACAGTATAAGTTTTCGGCTTGTTTAATGTGTGTATAGGAGACTAATGCTCAGTTGCGAATAGAATAAGTGATATAAGTATATAGGAGTATACAAACGCAGAGAAAAGAAAATGGAAAACTATGAGGATAACCTCTACGGAACAAAACTTCCGTTTAGGTTTAAAGGTTTAAATGTTGAGTAAAGAAGAAGACTTGACGCAACGTGTTTTATAGTCAAATTTAGACAATGATACAATGTTTAAAATTTAAATATGTCAGCTGAATAATAATAATTAATAATAAAAAAGTGAATGACGACGATGGGTACAGCGTACGCGACGAGTAAGTAAAATTAGTAATAAAAACGGGATGCTGAAATTCAGCGTTATATATACGACGATATATTATTGCTCTTTCTCTTGAGTTTCGCAATTACAAAAACGACTATTCTGCTTTTTTTCGAGACATTTTTTTTTCACCGAACGCAAAAAAAAAATAGATTGCCCCTGATAAAATGTAATTTCGACATTCTAGTCAAACATGAGTCAGGATCATTCGCTGTAAGTGTGTTTTTTTCCTTCCGTTCTGCATTCAGTCTCATAGTAGTCCCCCAAGCCAACTATAGACATCTCGAGAAGACAAAAAAAAAACAACAAAGAATAGCCAAAATATTATATGATTCATGATATATTCTACATTTAGAGAAAAAGAAAATAGAAACAAAAATACTTACTGTAAAGAGTTCGTCTATTGATCAATTCAAAATATCGATCAGTGTAGCTAATTCTATGCATAATAAAATTTCATTAATAAATATGGAGATATACGAAAATGCTTTCAATATGTATCTGAGTTATGATGATGTTAAGAATACATTTTTGGAAGTGTTTTAAGTTGGAATAGAGAAATAATTATTATAAGCTATTTATTTTCTCGTCTAATATACTTTTTTATATAGACGTACTTACATACAGTATTGCATCATTCTTACCTGTTCGTGATGCATTTTGCTGTGAAACTATTGTGCAATTACACAACATGCATAAAAAGTACTAATCTCTTAAAATGCATAATTGTTATTTCTACTCATGGACACATTTTCTTATATCCATCTGTAAATATGCGCCCAAATGTTTATAAACTAAATTCTATATATAAGTACCAAATCCGATGAAACCACATTTGACCTGTAATATTCAAGTCGAAACGAAATAATTTCAGGGTTCTAAACAATTAAAAGAAATTATGTGAGACCTTCCTTTGAAAAATTTTTTTTTATACTTATTCCATTTTACTATAGTGTTTTTATTCCTAAAGAACAAAAATGCTTGATATCATACACCGAAATTTGTCTTTTTCTCTAAAGAAGAATACATCATGCTACCACCTTTAATTCAAATGATAAACTTGTATTTTTACTCGGATCAAAGATATAAGCTGTATGGTTTTAGCAATAAGAGCTGGAACACAATATAGTAGTGCAGAGGACCAGGACACGTCGGTCTTTACTTATGAGACAATTTAGTCCAAAAGTAAACTCTTGGCATTTGAATGATAAGTTCAAGTGTTCGATTCCATCAACTGTGCAGTGTTTTTCTGTGTTTTGCTTCTTTTCTACCCTTATCTTTTTCACTCAACTCAACCGATTATGATAATATCAGCCTGAATGTACATTTTCCACTCCTGTACATTTCCATTTTGAGAACTTTCGTACTCAATCTGTGATTAGTAGAGCGAACATTTAGGAAACATTTATATCATCCTAACCTTTTGATTACTGGGCCTCAGACGCCTGAATTTTGAAAGTGAGGGGAAGGTACGCCGAAAATAAAAGCTTTTTGTTTTCTCCCAGCGGAACTAAAAAACTCTTTTTGTTTTCTTTGGTCGCGCATCGAAGAAATTGTTTTCTTACATTCCCCCCCGAAAAGTTTTTATACTCTCAAAGTTCACTCCCCTGCTGGACTTACTGAGTACTCACTCTGTACATTGAAAAAACCAAAGAGAGCTGATAAATCCTCTAAAAAATACAAGCAAAGGAATCAGACTAATCACTTAATGTGCTTGCACATTAATTTTTCTCTCAACTGTCTGGTAAAAATAATATGCGGTTGCAATAACTGTCTGGCACATTAAAAACTAAATGCGGGCACGTGAAATCGAATCTAAATGCAAGAAATTATGCTGAGGAACAGTCGAATGGATGTTGGAGACAATTTTCGCTTTTATCGAGAAATATGGATGACATTATATCTAGCCGAAACGAGTTTATTTAATATAAAAGGGTACTAAGAAGATCAATCACATTGAGACTTATGAAGATAGCTCTACTATCGATAGTCAAAAACCTATAGTTTGTCTTATATGTTAATCAACGACTGGGCCTTCAAACCAATTTTTAACACATTGTTGATATGTTTCGCGAACTTGAATCCGATACTATTATGCATGGATACAATTAATCCCATGAGATTACCCATTTTGTGTATCTTTGGTCGCCAACGAACAAATGGACGATTTTTTGAAAATGTTGATTTTCTTTTCGATAGTTTTTTATCAGTGACTAATTTTACTACAAAACGAATTTAACACAGAGTAAAAGTCTCTTGTACGATCTCCAGATAGTTTTTCGAAATATTCTTCAGAAAGTTTCTCATTTATTTTTCGTTTATATTTAATCACATAGGGCTACTACGCAAATTCCCTTATCAAAGAGATTCTTTAATTGTTCTTCATTTCACATGCCAATGTTTCAACGTTGTCAAAATCTAGTTGATAATGGTTTTCAACAGCCTACGGAGCTAGTTCCGATGTTGATTTCATTTTTCGAATGTTTATATGATGTTCTTCCGTTCTCATTGTCTTTTCACGACTTGTTTCACCAGCGTAGTACTGTTTATCACAATTTTTACACGAAATTCAATAGAGTGTTTTTAGTTTCTCACTCATGTTCATTTTGAATCGGTAAGAATATACTTCTCAATGTGAAAGTCTGTCGAAATGCAAATTTTCTTTGTATTGAAAAATCATTCTTGCTGTTTGTTTCTGTAAAGACTTTCACATTGAAAAGTGTATTCTTACCGATTCAAAATGAATATGAGTGAGAATAAATATGATAGAGTTAACAGCAGCTTTTAATATTTAAAGCTGCTGTTAATTCTATCATATTTATTCTCAAATTTTTACCCATATCAAAACAAAAATATGAATGAGAAACTAAAAAACACTCTATTGAATTTCGTGTAAAAATTGTGATAAACAGTACTACGCTGGTGAAACAAGTCGTGAAAAGACAATGAGAACGGAAGAACATCATATAAACATTCGAAAAATGAAATCAACATCGGAACTAGCTCCGTAGGCTGTTGAAAACCATTATCAACTAGATTTTGACAACGTTGAAACATTGGCATGTGAAATGAAGAACAATTAAAGAATCTCTTTTTACACTCAACAGTCATGGAGAAGCATTCAGTAAAGTAAAACACTCATTTTGTGTGTGTAAAACATTCGCGTGTATCATTATACCGCAAACCCAGCCGTCGGGTATTATATTGAACATAAGAATATTAAAATTTCAATTAGCGGTCGGTTATCCAACAACACACGCGCTATGATATGGTATCTATCCTTGAAAAAGATACTTTCATGAACTTGAAACAATGTTCTTTGAACATACATATCGATAAAAAAGCGAAAATCTTTTCCAAAATGCGGAAAAAAAGCGGAAGTTCATTTTTCATCCAACGCAAAGGGTATCAAAAAAAATTTTCTAGCACTTTTTGGTAGTTCCACTTAAGAAACACAAAAGAAGTACAAAACATCATTTAAATCCCAGTTTGAGTCAATATTGGCTTTTTGTGGATGTCATAAATTTCAAGAGTTATGTATGGCAGGATAAAATTCAATTCGAAACTTTCCCGCCTACGACAGCACTTAATGATTTCTTGGTTAAATTTCCTGACTGAACTGGCTTCCTTGAAGATTTAGTATTTCACTATTTTTCATATTCCCTTTCAGCAGCACTTAAGACAAGCTAATGTTTTTCTGTTAGCGCTCACTTCCGGGGCAAATTTCTGATTTAGTTCTTAAAACAGTGTGCATCTGTTTTAGCTGCAAAAGCATTGTTTTGACGCGTCATTCAGCCTCTTGTAGCCAGTATGATCTTTCTCTGTAACTGATATTGTGAATCATCAGTGTTTTTTTACCTCTCATTGCACTGCTGTGTTATTGAGAATTAACGCCGTGTTGTGAACTTGTACGAAACCAACTAGAGTAAAACTGTTTTTTGTGATTCATGCATATGTACAGCTCTTTCACTTTCCTGTTTAGCGGTTTCTTTGTCAGAAGAACGTCTCACCGTATTCGCAACTCTCGCATAATGTGACTACTGCCTAGTTTAATCAATGTTGTTCCACAGAAAAGTGTGTTTCTATTATTTTCAAATACAGATCATTTTTCATCAGAACATCGATGATAGAATAGTTTTCGTCGCGTATAAATTTTGGATAAATCGACATGCGGCTGTTTTTCACATTTATTAAAATTATTTGTAATTTCGTCGATATGACAATTCAAATATATCGCATGCTTTGCTTAAGAAAGTCTATTTCTACTACCAACTGTTTCCACATATTCACTATCGCATGGTAAAACTACATTATCATCATTTTCAATATTGATGAAAGTTCTTTCAATAGCTTTTTCGTTCAGTAATCGAAACGTTATACAACCGTTTTATTCAACATCCTGTTTAATAGTTAAATAAATTAAACTGAAAACTCATTATATGTTAAATAAGCCGACAGATCAAATTCAGACTGTTTTGTTAATTCTTCCATGCTTTCATTCGAGATATTTGCAAAATAATTCTGCGCTTTATTCATTGTTTCATCTATAAGAACAATTATAACCCATGAGAAGATCACTAGCATAACAAGCATGAGAAAACAGACGCAAACAAATGATCCGATTTTTACCCCTTGTTCAACATCCGATTTAAGATGCACGAAAAGCAGAATTCAAGCGGATTTTTTTTTATCGATGTTCTATACATGATTCGATGGAGAATTCAACTTAATAGTTGAAAGATTCATAAATAGATAAATAGATTTAACTGCAGAGCTAGATATTTGCCCAACGTTGTCTTCCCAGAACATGGCGTACAAACGACAAAATATTTTAATATTGGTTGACACCGTAATAGAGTTGTTATTGGATGTGTGACGACAAAGTTGAGGATCCTTAACTCATATTTTGCAATCCCTATATCATTCACTTAATCGTTAAAAATTTGAAGATTCCAAGACTTTTCAATATACTTTATCAAATGAAGAGGATGTTAACTTAACAATAGTTAGTTTCTCTCACTTGGTTTCTTTTTAGTTATCAGTGGCAGTGATTTCTAATCGTACCGTAGAGATGAATTGCTCTCTTCGACAACGTAAAACTATCTAATACTGTTATTATAAACTTTATTTGAGAAGTGAAAAAATATAAAAGAGCAACGAAGAACAATAGCGAATCATCAGTCTATTATATTGAACTTCGTTCTCAAAAAAAAAATAAAATAAAAAGACCAGAAGGCAAAAAACATTCAACTGTTGGAACACGAAGTAAATGATCAAATAGTGAGAGTTTAGTAAGTTTATTCAATGATTCTAAAAAGTAGAGAAAGAAGGATCTTTCCTAAAGCAAATGAATAGTTAGTTAGGATTAATGAGCATCAGACCCATTGATGAATTTAGAAATAGCACTAGAAACAAGAGTCAATGCATTTTGATCAAGTTTTGAACGAAAATGGAAGAGATCGAGTAATGAAATTAAACTGTCATATTTGATTGTTAAAAAGAGATCTTGAAAAATTATATAAGCAAAACGTTTGAGAAAGAAATGAGCTGAATCTTCTATACACGCATGGATAATATTCATTCAACAATCACAGTAGTTGCTGTTAATAAGTTTATGTTTTTTCAGACGATAGTGTAGGAGATGATACACAAACACTACGATTGAGTCTGATGTATGTTTATTTGTGCACATGCACAATCGAATTAATGAAAAGATCAATATACAACATAAACTGTATAATCGAGTTTCGCTAACCTTAACCTTAACTCAATAACATAGAATTTCGTAATCACTTATTAATAGAAAAAGGATAAGAGAAATTTGACTTATACGCTTTTTCTCTCTTAATTAACCATCATATGCGTGATACAGACAAAAACCTTACGACTCGATACATCTAGTTCTCTGGTAAGTTATACTTATGTGATGTGCAAGTTATTTTTTTCATTTTTTGTTATAAGAAAGAAAGATCTAATGAAATTATCTACAATAATAAATCTGTACGATTTCAATAGTTCACATAAATTCGATACACGTTTAATCAAGTACCATATCAATCAAGTGGTGAATCTACAAAACTCATCTGTCATTTTGTAATATCTGAAGGACGTTTATAACAATAAAATCATAATTAATGAAAAAAAAACTTCAATTTTCAGTGAATTCTAAAACAAGTCATCCTTTCATGATTCTTACGAAATAATATTCTACGATATTTATTGTCTCATAAATATGGAGACTAAAGCTTCGAACAGATTACTGCTTATTAGTGGTATGTCTATACAGTATGCCATGATGTTATTGCTGTAGAAAAATGTTTCTAACAACAAGACTACCGAGTTCAACATCCTCATCATCCGATGGTTCATCATCTTCCTTAAGTGATCAATTAGTATTGAAACGAGACAAACGTTTGTTTCACTCAATTGATTTTATTTCAGTTTTCATTATTGTTGTATCTTTGTTCACAGCCATTGTTGAATCAAGTTTAAGGAATGATCTATATGAACAGTAAGTGATCAAATATTGTGTTTGTGTTGTTTCTATTTTTTTTAATATTTTTTATTTAGATGTCCTTTATATGCCTCTATTTTTCTACGTAATCTCACCTACTTTTCTCTTGACTCTACCGATCGTTCATCAACGTGGGGTTCAATTTATTTATGTGATTTCACACTATTTGCATATTTTTCGGTATTTGTTTTAACATTCATCTCATTATGGTTACATATAGCATTTCGTCGTGTCGTTAGAACTGAACGTTTATTACGTTTACCTATATGGATTTTAACCGTTGCTTTTTCCATAATATGTTTGGTAGCCACGTTTGTAATCACAGTTGGTACTGCGACATTTTGTTTAAGAAGTCAAGATGGTTTATGTTCAAATGTACCTGCATTCAGCGTATTTCGATGGAAAATTATCTCGATACCAGTTGGTGCGTACAGTACGTACATGTTTTCGTCTAAGGCTTCGTTTTTTATTCATTTATTCTACGTAGGTGCGTGGTTATCAAACATTTCAATGATTTTGATTACTATAATAAGATCAATTCAATTATTTTCTAAACCAAAAAAATCTCCTGAAGCATTAAAATTTCTCCTTCAACAATTAATGGACTACAAACAAAGGGCAAAACAAGAAAAAGAAATAGTGTCAGATCATGATTCGGAACAAAAACAAAATGCCTTGTCAGACAGTGTATTCACGCAGAAAAATAAAAAACAGAAGACTGGAAAGCGTACGGTCAAAAAACATGAACAGGTATGTACTAAATTTTTATTATTTCTTATATAATGTTTTTTGTGGGAGTTGGCATTTGTCAATTTTTCTTCTAGATTCCAATGGATCGCTATGGCGAACATAGACATACTCAACATTTTCGTCCATATGATCATTTTCAATTGCCTTCATACTCGATTGACAGACGTCCAGTTGTGAGAAGACTTCATCAATCACGTTCATGTTTTGAATATATCAAAAATTGTTTTTCTTGTTTTCGTCATCGGAACGTCCCACAACTCATAGAAGCAGAAAACTATACACCATTTTATATTCCAGATGAATACTTTGATCGACTCAATTATTTGCGTTCAAATCCGGCGGAACGTTATCTCTGTCGTGATTTCACTTTAGATCGTCCATTATGTAAACAACATTCTACTAACCGACAATCAGATTTACCTATTCATGATCAAGAATTGTTGAAACAGAAAATTCCTCAGCAGAAATCTCAGTCAACTTCAACTTTAAATAGTCAACGAGACAATGCTACATCTACGGTATCATCAGACGATGTTGTTCCAGAACAAAATTATTTACATCGTCGACGAAGTTCTGTTTATTTTGAAGATGAGAAAGCACCTTCTAAAGAAACAGAATCCGATAAACCGTCTGAAACAAAGCAAGAACTTCCACAAGAAGTCTCCTGTCGAAATAATGAAGACGATATATGGACAACGGTGACTATCAGTCAAGAAATCACAACACAATCTGGCCATTTTAATCGACTATCTTTCGAAAATGTGGCTATTATACCTACAAATAATCTCGATATACCAGACAAAGTAGATGAACGTGACATCACTCAGGTACACGTTACGTCTGAAGCATTGTTACCATTCCCAGAAGAATTTAATAAAGAAGTCAGTCAGCAGCAACCATCTGAAAACAATAACAAGAGTAATAATAAATTTTCTATAGAGAATTCACATAAATCATTTCCTCACACAATGAAACAATTCAACTCTTTATCCCAACAAAAATCATTAACAGCGAACATCAGTTATGATAATAAAACTCGTGCATTCAAAACTGAGGACAATCAACAACAAGCACAAACTATTGCTTCGTTTACACCACCATCAAACAATAATTCGCTATTATTATCACCAAAACAACAAACGATTGACGATAATTCATCTTCCTCCTATATTAACGAAATAAAGTCATTCGAAGAAATAGATACGGGAGGAAAATATAATTATAACGATTTAGCTGAAACATTAAAATCGAATGTTCAACGATTAAGAAATACGTTTCTTGTAGATAAACAAACAGAGAATGATAGTGTAAAACAACTAACTGAAAATAAGATAATACCACCGTACTTGTATAAAACGACAAATTCCTATCCTAGTTTGAATAATGAAACAATTGAAAATAATAACAACAACAGCAACAACAACAATAATAATTTTATTACTACGAATCATAATACTAGTGAATCGAACGGTAGATTAACTTATACAGAATTATTACCTGTAACTAACATTTCAAGAAAATCATCATTTTGTTAAGATTTTTCAAAAAGATATAAAAAAACATTCTTTTGCCGAATTTGTTTTATTTAAAATAAAGTCATTTGCAATATTTCATGTAAATGTAAGGTGCACGCAAAGCAAAATTCGAGCAAAAAATTTTTTTTTCGATGTTTCAGACACCATTCGATAGAGAATTTTACGGCGATCAAGAATATGTGTTCCCTGAAAATTTTCGATGCTTCTTTCT